CATTGGAACTATTTCTGGTTCTCAATGAATTTTTTATGGAATCATTATCATCAAACCAAGGGCTTCAACTGTTTCATTCCGGGAACTACCTGAATCTCAGGGTTCTGACATGGAGGATAATGCAATCATCCAGGAAACATAACCAAAACCATGGTAGCTCAAGTACTTGAAAACTGCTTTGAAGGCATGCAACCATCTAAAGGTTGTCACATCCATAATTTTTTTTCATGTAAGCAACCATTATTAATTATTTTATTTCTCTCATGGCTTAGCTTTCCAGCCACTGGTATGCTGTCATGCTTGCATCCACACCTCCTGAACTGGTAGCACCCTGGACATTTGGCAACCTTTCACTAGCAAGTAGGCTTCAGTTGTACCCCAACTGGCATACTTCACTTTCCCCAACTGTCAGTGGGGGCACCCTTGCACTAAAGATATCCACTTTGATCAACATCACCTGAAACAAAGGGATGATCACAGGTTAGTTTGGCATGGATTTATTTCTAATATAACAAGAACACCTAGATTTCATCAGTTCCAGTTGTCAAGCTTCATTAGCATGCTCTGTGAGGTGGTTTTCATCCTAAATGGTCTCAATACACATGCATAATAAATCCAACAAATTGATGTCAGGTGAATTTTGGGGGCCACATATATTGATAATGATAATATATAATAATTACGAACATGCATTTATACTCTCTTGCAATTCCTCAATTCAGCAAAGGGAGCCAACTTTTGGTCATCCAGAGTGAGTTGAGAATGCAAAAAGTCCCCATGTGGTGGGAATTCCAATTTTGATAGTCTTAGTTTCACTGGTCTTCATCCAAATCTGCAAAGATACAGCAATATGATTGAACTATAAGTGGAAGGGTGTATTAGGTTATTACTGAATGGGCTCATCCATATTCACTGATTGGCCAATGTCTTTTAGGAAGTCACCTAACCTCAGTCATGATGAAATGAGATACACCAAATTTGTTGTTAATACGAAATGATTTTGTGCCCTTAGCTGTAATTGCATAACAAAAATTATGGGAAATCCAACTGATAATTCATATTGCATTTTAAATATATGCTTTCATTAAATACTTTTTTGGAAATTTTCCAATTTTCCCCAAATAATAATAATAAAGGTTTCTTGATGCAGGAAATCTTCCATGTTAAAAAAGGAAGTGTTGAACTCACAGTTTTGAGAGCACTGGAAGCCACATGGAAGAAGGTAGAGCAGAGCATAAGTTAAGCTACTAAGCAGCACAAATAAAACTAATATTCAAGGCAAAGGAACAAAGGCACACAAGTCGCTTCCCTTTAGCTGGGGCTTCTTCATCCCTCTCAATCTTCTCTTGTGGACTCATGCATTTACCCTCTCTTGCTCACATTCGCTCCTCAGGCCTACTTGGCATGTTCGTATGAGTCTCCCTCATCTCTCATTCCGAGTCAGCAGAACCAAAGTCTCCATTGTTGCTGCTGACATGCTTATTCCTGATTCTTTTTTTATTTCAAGAGTACTGTGCCCTCATAGAAATAATGGTAGCCCCAAGGCTTGGAAAGGAAAGATAAAGGAAGTACCAATGTAGTCAAAATAGACACTATTCCATTTCTACGATAGGCATGCCCAGTACCCGGCTGAAGTTGGAACCATAAGCAGTGGCAAGACCATTTCAATATGCTAGCATTAAGGACTGGTAGCATGAATTTGAATTACCAGCCAGAATTAGGTGATGATCAGACAACTGCTTTGATGGAAAGGGTTACTTCAACTTTGAGATGTCTGAAATGAATATCAATGCCATCTATGGGGTAAATATTCAGCTTTCACATAAAACAACAACGTTGCACATCAATGCCAGCAAGACAAAAAAATTCCTGTAATTCAGCTACCTTTCAAGCTCTTTAACAGCATCGTTTGTGTCAAAATGCAAGGCACTAGTCAATATGCAGGAGTGACATACAGACACCATAAACTATTTCTACAAATGCTCCATTAAGTGAGCTGATGCTTCAAAAGCTTCAATTGTAGCCTCCATAAATGCTCCATTTGCCATCTCATAGAATTTGGCAAGGAATACTCTTATAGATGTTTCAATTGCATACCTTCCAACTGTGAGCCAATTTCATGTTTAGGGAAATAATTTGATTGGATTTTCAGAAATTGAGATGTGTAAAGCCAACAGATTTTTATATACTGCATTTCATTAATTATTCCACAAATTAGTTAAGAAGAAATCATCTTTTAATCTTGGTTAATGAAGTACTTAACCCACCGGACCCACTGAGACTATTACTAATAAACAAGTTCTTTGTTCAGGTTAGGGTTGCCCCCGGGTCATAATTTGAATGGACAGTACATATTTCAGATGCAATGTCCATACTACAAACTTATCTTAATATGTCGGCTACTGAAGGATCACAGCAACTTTTCTTGGCACCGTCTTTGATAGAATTAACCTTGAATATAAGTGTGGACTCTGGTGCACTACCAATGGATTCTTCCAAACAGCTTCCTTTAATTACAGTGCGAATTAGCCCTATGTAAATCGATCCCGAGGTCTTCCAGAAATCGTTCCGAGGTCTTACAGTTAGGAATACGAAGAGGTTGAATTTTTCTGAGGAAAAAGTTTCAATTATCAGGGTGCCAATTAGCTCTTGTGAAGTTCAGGAGGTTCTCTTCACCAGAATGTTCATTATTTGAGGGGAAAGAAGCGAAGGAGAGCACGGAGACAAAACCAGGACTAGACAAACTAAATGGTTGAAATGAATAGGAAAGAAGCTCACACACCCTATCTAAATGCGCATATTTGAACCTTGAAATGACGAAGATTGGGCGTGTTCCTTTCGAACGGTTTCAAAGTTTTCAAACTGCAGAGTCCTCCGTTCAACTTTAGGGAATAACTTCCCAAAGATTTTAACGTCTAGGTTAATCCATTATACATTCGGTGCGTCGAATTCCTCCGTCCTGATACCAGAATCGAGAGGAAAGAGTTTTCGAATAAAAGGCGGTCTTTGATGCGTAAAAGTGTAACTTATTCATAAGAAGTGATGTCTATAGAAATCGATGATAAATCAATGAAACCAGAAGTGATATGAACTCCGAACTAGCCTAGATCTAGTGTACTTGCGAAACCGTAGATGTAAAATACATAACAATAAACATTTGTGCGAGTAGCTGTTCGTGAGCACCCGCGCGTTTCCAATGTGTCTCTGCTTCCTTCACCGACTTGACATCTTTAGTAGAGGTAGTGGAAAGGGCAGAAAGGGACGTCACAGAGTTCTATACCTAACCCTGAAATGTAACAGAAGGGGCCCTGCTCATTCATTAACGGATTGCGACAGTAGTTGTGCGTCTCTCTCCTCAAGTCCTCGGGGAATCTGAACCAAATGGGCCAATTTGATAAGTTGCCTTTATCCCATTGCATACACGGATGTCCTGACAATGATGTATTTCGTGTTCCTGCATACTCCTCTCCCTCTCTAGTCCATCTGCATTCCGTCTTGTCTGGTGGAGAGAAGAAATGAGATATAGATGTATTGGGCAATATTGATCCAGTGAAGAACGGGATCGTCCTTTATTTTCCCCTCTTTGTCCTACAGGGAAGAACTCTTTGTTTCCCTAGACGAACCTGACTGTTGAACTTTTACGGTAATTAGAAGGGAAGACCGTTATCAGGAAGGAAGGCCGAAAGAGGAATTAATGCTATGTATTCCTCCTGAAGTGTGAAAAAGGGTTGCAGGAATCGCATCCCATTTCTACTCTAATGTCTTTCACACCTTTCTCTTCCCGTCATCATGGTGTATTGAGATGAAGTGGAATAATATTAATTATTTCATGACGCTGATGAAATTATGTTTCTTGGGGTGTTTTGTAAGTCCTGATATTCCATGTTGAGGAATGTTGTTTAGAGTTTTACAACTTCAATTCATGACGTAATTATTGACCGTTCTATAAGGAATTAGGAAAAAATTATTGATTCAATCATGAATTAATTTTAAACTAAGAGTGATGGTATGTTGTCACTGTGAGGATGGGACAACCCTGTAACCGATGGGGCACGTAAGCACGTAAAACAGAACTCATTAAAGACATTAAGGAAGTCGTAAGATCCTGATGACTTTTATATAAATGAAGTCGAAGCCAACACTCAAATTAGCCAATGGGACAAAAGTGGACCAAGTTGCATATCTAATCCGGATCCCGGATTTTTAGGAAGGTACCCTGGCTCCTCCCAGTGGTACCGAGGATATTGTGAAGAAACTTGGATGCCGGAGTCAGTCGCTATTTGGAAGGCAACATTGTGACATTACCAGATCCGGAGCTATCTCCAGGACAACCACAACTGCCAGGTTAGCCCTTTTCACTTGGTTTTGTGATGAAGTTGTGGCCCAAAAGAGAGAGAGAGAAAAAGAAAGATTAAGATAAACGATATTTATTTAAAATCTGAATTTGAGTCGGATTCGAGCCTCGTCGGATCCTTCTATTGATAGCATCCAATATTTATTTTGATATTGTTTAGAGTGTTGCACTCTAAAAGAGATACCGGACATCTCTTAATACTGATAGAATTCTTGTGTTGAATTCATTAATAAGTACAGAGGATAATGGAGGAGTTCTCTGGAAAAGGGGCGTATGTGCATATACGCAATTTTTCCATATCCGTGTCCATATGCTGCTTAAGGTGACTTGTCATCGGATAGAGTGCTCAGCAGTCAGGGAATCAATTATTCATTGTCACTCCCAGGATTGTAGCATCGGGAGAAAACGTATCTTCAGTCACTATGCGCCTCATCGCGGGTCGAATTTTGCTACCTATGAGACCAGCGACAGATGAAAATTGCAACATCTTACGGTAAGTGAGTTTTCGATTTTCATTTTAACACTGTATTACATACACGCAATGTCATCCCTCTCGCAGGTAGGCCAAAATTAAATGATTTTTTGCAACTTCGAACCATAGCAGGGCATCTACAGGTACTAGCCTCGAAAATTGATAGTGTTAACCCTACAGGGATTCGTGGATAGGAGTGGGCTCACTGGGGTAGTTGGGGCAAAAGGGAATTTGGCAAAATTCCCATTCGATGTCTAGATCTTCAACGAAGCACCAGGGTTGCTGCCTGATCGTCGGGTTCCTGCAGAAATCCTGGTGCAACGTGGAATTGCCAAATCGGAAATGATGCTCATAAGTTGCACTCGAGTCGAAGTCCTCAGGTTTTCCATATGGGTGGGAATCCCATCGGAGACAGGGCTTTCCGGTCTTCGTTTTCCTCGTCGTTCCTACGTATTCCTTCCCCATCGCGGTCTGCAAGCATTCTGGATATCCTTCAGCCGGTTTACCTGTCAGAAAATTGTCCCCAATAAAAACTACGAAACACGTCAAGTCAACAATTCACCTGCTTGAAGAATTTCACGTTTTCTATAAATCGATTTTTAAGAAGGTTAAACAGTGAAATATTTTCCTTTTAGGTCAAACCAATGTTGTAGGATGCAAGATTTTAGGATATCTGCACGTTTCTTCACGCGTGAAACGCTCTCATTAGGTAAAGGTTGGGAGAACCTGGGCACGAATGAACCCCTTTGCATACCCTCGACGGCGAAGCGCTCATACAATTGATAGCAGAAAGGGACCATGCAATGTCCCCATCTTTCGCCAGTTCCCTCTTCAGTGAAGCACCAGAGGCCATACGGGTTAGCGTCAGGATTGCGACAGTAGTTGTGACTACTGTCAACACCTTCATCAGGGATCATCATTATGTCCATGACTGAAAATCGCTTGTCGTTCGCCCGACCCAACCAGGGTTGACACTTCCGACCGTCCGCATCAACGTTCTTGATTCCCACGTACTCCAGCCCCAACTCAGTCAAGCGGCATTCCAGGGGCTCTGAGTAAATTCAGGTATTCAGGAAGGTAATTTTTTTAACAGAATAAATTATCTTCCCTGATACTGTCAAATAGGAGAAATATCCGAGGAGGTCTTGATACAGCTCGTTTTTAATCACTTATATCTCTCTTTCTGATTCAACCCTGTGAATTCCTTTTTTTCGTAATGTTTGGAGTGTCAAATCACTTGAAATCTATTGCTGATCTGTGTCAGGTTTTACCCTTGAAGTACGACGATGGAAATATCGCGATTGGCTCATCACGATATAAGAAACCACTAAATCATTACTTCCTCCTGAACCTTTATATAACTACAGTATTCATCAGGAAGCAGTCCGCTCGGAGAGAGTTGCTCCACGTTGCTCAAAGTGCACCATTTAAAACTCTGGAAGAATCGCTGACCTTTAAAGCGGAGGCAGAAGGGGATGTCGCAATATTCCCAGCTGAAAGACTCGAAAGACACGAAGCACCATGGCCGTTCCGCCCTCCCAGGATTCCGGCAATAATTTATGTCCTGATTAATTTGGATCAAGGCAGCTGGAAGGTCCTCGGGTATTTGATGGCGTTCATGGTAAGGGCGATGAGAGAAGAGGAAATCCAGAGTTCTTTCGCTTTTCAGATACTCCTTCCAAGGTTGGCATATTTTCCCGGTTTCTGTCTGGCTTTGGCTTCCTCGGTATTCCTTCCCCATTGGCGTCATTCGGCATTCTGGATACATGCTCGAAGCCTCTGCCCCATATGCGAAATATGCAATCGTGCGTGGACAGTATGATTGAATGGGTGGAAGGAGCATCAAGTAATTGATACGAATTCTTATGATGTGACATCGATGACAGCTTACGGATGAGTGCATGAAAATTTTTATTTCCGTATTTATTTCTTAGTATGTTTTATATTTGCATAATGTTTATATTTTTTAGGAGATTAATATACGACATTTGAGCACATGGGAACATTCTTCGCAGGCTGCTAGGTCTCACAATCGTATAAAAGTCCATACTGTTCTCAAAGGAACTATATGGGCTGTTTTCAAACCGAGTCCTGGGTTCCATTTCTGAGCGACCTTCCGGTATCTTAAAGAGACTGTACAGTAATTCATCATTGGAAGCATGTTAGAAAAAAATATTTTTAAGATTAAAATTTTTCAAGTGTAAACATTATTAAATATATAATTCAATATATTGAAAATTTAAATAAATGCAAGAATATTTAAAAGTTCCAAGTCAAAGTATCAAGTCTGTACTCATCTCAGTACTCAAGGCACCGATTAAATGCATTTCGTAATGTATCAGGAATGTCGATACCATTATTTTGTATCGTCATTCCTGAAGCCAAAGGAAGATTACTTCCATAAGTCACATGACTCACTCGACGCGCATCGCTCCTCCGATCCTCCGTCATCGTCGCACGCCCTCTCCGCGTCTTTCACGGCACAAAAACGCACATCGCAATACTCCCAATTCACCTCACGCCCTGTGGGATCTTGGACATTGCACCAAGGACCGCCCGGCTTCCCTGTCGGATTCCTGCAGTAGTTGTGCTCATCCGTGATGGAATCGGGGAATGCCTGTCCCTTAATCGCAAACCTCCATTCTGGACTCAGATCCTGCTCACCGAGCCACGCGAGACACGGAGAGCCAGAAATGGCCTTATTTAGTGTGCCCGAGTATTCTGCTCCCTTTTGAGTCATTTTGCATTCAGGTGCACCTGAAAATTAAATCGGTTGCATGATTTGTAGCAAAGCAACCTCTCGACCTTTAGGATGACTTTCGGATTAAACAAGAAACAGACAAAAATATTTTTCTTGATAGTAAAATTTGGGTTCCAACTTCATGGTGGCTTCCTGCTTCGATTGAAAAGAACGCATTTCTGAACGCAAAGCTTTAAGTTGGTGGTGAGATGCTTATTCGCCACCAACTCTATTCTCCATTTTCTCCTTGGGTGTGATGTCCACAGCGCAATCAAACGACACATCCTACCTAATTACAATCTCTGGTTTTCATAGTCTTGGTTTAATTTTTATGAAATGAAAAGCCCACTTCTGCCGCCAGAGACGTTACTTGGTATCCTCAGGCAGCACCGACGTTGGACCCACGTTGGCCGCAAGTGGGGGGATCGTGGGCTCACAAAGCAGTCGACTGCCCATGTATGCCCCACATCGGCGCAAGGTGCGCAGCCAACATTTCCAATATCTTAGGATGAGACATTAGTGGCAGTTACTGAAATCAAATGTTTCTCACAAATGGTACAAGATAGACCTTACGGGGCAAAGGAGCTGGTGGGTTCAGTCATGGCTTACTGCGAAGTGCTCGCAAAAACGGTGACATTAACATTAATGGAGTGAATCCTGTTTTCTTTTAAAGTTTAGGTTTGCCTAGGGCTCTTTATATACTAGGATTTCGAACTGGTTAATAGCCTGGTCTCCATGATTCGCTATGGAATAGAGAAATTATAAATTATATATATAAAATTATACAAAAATTTATTGATTGCTATATTGGGACTACGCAAGACATATGACGAGGTACTAAACACACCAGTGAGGGACGATTCTAGGGAATGACGGAAAGGTATTTCCGTGTACTTTGACAAGTATAACTTTACCTGTGATCTAGTTGCCCAGCGGAGAACTTCAATACTTCCCAAAAACTTTTTCGTGAGGTTGGGCACATTGGATCATCGCGTAGGCTCGATATTGGGTCGATGATGGAAATGCAATATTGGGGAATCCAATGTTTAGCCTATACTGACAACATTGCTCAAGCTGCAGCCAACGTATCCAATATTGGTCCAGCATAGTGCGAAAATCTAGCTCAAGAATATCTAAGCACAATATATCTTGCTACTGGGGGAGGATCGAAAAGATTGAGAATCAACGTTGGGCTCACATCGCAAATGCGGAATTCCAGCACAGGCTCAACGTGGGTGTGTTGCCGGGGATTTCTACTACTCGATACGCTCGCGCAGTTTGAGGCATGGAGGGAATGAATTGAGGATGGATGTATGGAAGCAGAAGGTCCAAAGGCCTTAATCGTGAGCCTCAATAGGGAAGTTCCGAAGGAGATCATGCATTGGGAATCACAAATTCATGTTTCCGTGGAATATTGCATTTGCTCCTCTTTGATGAACGTACTTGAGAAAGGGACAGGCACTCACTTAGATCATCACAAAATGGAATCCAGCAATACTCCCACGTCAAACCACCATCATCGACGAAACACCAAGGCATATCGTTCGTCGATGGGTTCCGGCAGAAATTCCTGTGGGAAGACGGATCCTGGTTGAGGAAGTGCTCTTCGAAGAACATGCCTTCATAGAATCCCTTCCCAACTGTTCGATATGACGATTTCACATCCGGGGAATCCCATCTGAGGCAGGGTTTTCCGTTCTCCGTCACGCTCACGGTCCCGATGTATTCCTTCCCCATCTCCGTCAGTCGGCATTCGGGATAATCCAGTTCATCTGTGAATCCACATTTGGATCGCCAGGTTTCAGGGAACCATGACCGAGCATGGAAAGTGAAATGAAATCGAAAGGGAAATAAATTGGAGGAAAAACCTATAAAAAAATTTAGCCATGCGACTTTATTGAAAAATCAGTTCTTCTTTGAAACGGGTTGTAATAGCCTGTATTTTACACGACTATGGAAAAAATGATACGTTTCGTGAAATTCTGCCAGGCAAGCCGTTTCCAAAGGATCACGGCAAGAACTCGAAGCATGGGAATCAGCGAAAAGACTTACATCGGCATTGAACGTCCTCCCCGCGAAAGGAGGTCTCCCAAGTGTCATCGAGCCGAAACGAGCAGGTGGCTTCGTGCGTGCTCGACCCATCAGTGAACCGCCAAGAACGACGGCAGGTATAGACGACCTGGGCGCCTGGAGGCGCTGGGTACTTCCCGTCCCATCCGTCGTATGCCACTACTGCATTTTCCATCTTCGGGTGTTCGGTCACGCACGATGCTGAAAATTGCCTCGCTGGAATGCAATACACGATGGCGTACTTCATCTTCCCGATGAGTACGTAATAGTCTGATAACTCCCTGACTGCCATTTTAGGCCCTCATTCCGTCTTTATATGTTTCAGGTCAAACTCTCGTTGTACGAATCATATAAATTGCGTTTCGAAAGTCTTCATTGCCGTGTAATGAAGTCGGATTGGGGATTTTTCTGCGTCGCGAAACTCTTGACATAAGGCAAATTTATAACTAATGTGTTCCAGCCATAATTGGACTAGTGCGTCATTCAACTCCGCGTACGACTTTTCCAATTCTATCCATGGACACTAAATTAAATGAATGTGTCTCCAACGAATCAGGGAAAAATTTTTAAGCAAAAAATTTGCAATAGATTGGGGTAGAAATTCGTCACATTCCAGCAGTTGAAACAGGCATTAAAGTAAACATTTTTCCATTCGACTAATGAAAAAAAAGCAACGGGCTAGATGGATAGTGAGGCATGGAATGGTGGAGCTATTTAGATTTCCTGATGCGAAAATGAAGTCTGTTTCGAAATAGGGTCCATTTCTGCAATAAACTTCAACGCAGCACTCACCTGTCATCAATGAAACGGTAATATAAAAACCTGAGAGAACCGTTATTGGGTCGGTGATCTTTTCTTCCGGGGCACTTAGTCCCCACCGGCTATGTTTCCAAAACGCATGAATTTCGAAAAAGACTTCGCACTCTCATTCTTTCAGGGCAAAGTTCGAATGACGTCACCAATTTCGAGAAGTGTGTCACCTGTGCGTCTAATGTAGGAAATTTTTATAGAGTCAGAAACCCAACCTATTCTTGTTTCATCCACTCATCATATCTAGATCATGTGTAGAATTAGCCTTAGTCAGTCAGTCGCTCATTCATGATCCTCAGAACAAGTTAGATTTTTCCCATGCTGATGAAGACTTTTCGCGTCAGCCTCGACCGAATCCCAAAGAGCATGCTCACGTGCATCAGGACAGAGGACCCTTTCGCCTTCGATGAACGTCGAGCTCCAGGAATCGGCTTCAGTCGAGGAACAGGTGGCAAGGTGCTCCTTCCTGCCATCCTCGAACCCTCGCCGGTGGATGCAAGAGAATTTCACCTCCCCACCGGGTGGGGCTGGATGCTCACCCGTCCAAGCCACGAAAGATTCCGTCGCGTGCTCCATCCTCGGGTAGTCCGTCAGGCACAGAACTGCATTTTCAACAAAATTTGACAACCTGCTGCCTGAGGGGCATTTACAGATGCCGCCTCTTTAGGAATTAATACCTTTTGGCAATTACCAATATGTCAGAGGTCGTCATAGAAATACGCAACCACCAAACAATAGGGACGGTGGGCTCAGATTCCACATATGAAAAAACGGAGAAGATATGGGACTCTCTTTAACCCTCAACAGGTATTCTTGTTTTTTATTTTTCATCGTGTAACCTGTATCGTGGTATCCAGTTGACCAATCGGTAATAAAAATCTCGATAAATTGAGTTTTTTTTAGGTGAATTTTATCATGGGAGTCTCGCCTGTCTTTCTCCTCCGACGTAGAAGTCTAACTTCTACGTCGACAAGTCTCAAAACTCGAGTAGAGATGGATTTTCGATGAAGTAGCGGACTGTCTACCGTAACCTTATTCTCTGTATTTACATTCAACCTTACATTTCACGGTGGGGGAGCACCACATAGCTTTGGTGTGCAATTGTGATTTATTAAAATAATACAGCTTAGGAATAGGCAACTTTTTTACGCAAAGTGTATTTTTCAACATGTATTTTTATGCAAAATGTATTTTTCTCTCCTCCTAGACCCCTTTTGTCGTCGTCGACAAGTCTCGCAACTCGCGCACCGTAGAGATGGATTTTTGATGAAGTAGCGGACTGTCTACCTTTTTCTCTATATTTACATTCTGACTTACCTTCACGGTGGGGGAACATCACATAGCTTTGGTGTGCAATTATGATTAATTATAATATTACAGCTTAGGAATAGGCAACTTTTTTACGCAAAGGGAATTCTCCAGTCAGGACATTTCGTTTCCATGAAATGCGAAAATGGAGAGAATGAGATTCCCAATTGTATAAAAGTTTATTTTAGAACTTCCATGAAATCTCAGTTTCATGGCAAATTATCATCTTGATACCAATATTCCCACTTACATTGTACGTATGCCTGGTAGCCATCCGAGGGAACGAGACCACTCTTCTCATTGTGAATCAGCTGACAGAACCCATCCCGTTCCCTGAAGTTGAAAGCCAGGAAAGGCCCGGACGGGTTCGTCCTCGCGCACTTCACGGTGCAGTCCTCGAGGTTCTTCGCTTGGAACTGCTGTGGCGCGTTCCCGTATCTTCGCCCTTGGTGCACGGCATGATACACGATGATTTTCGAGGACGATCCGGCCCAAAAGAGACAGGAAATCAAAACCGGAGTCAAGAAGTCACCCATCCCTCTGCCAGGAGACGGAAAAACAGGCTTAGGGAATACCATCGACACGATGGAATTGAATTCAACGATTCCCTCACAAAAACGCACAGTCAAATCTTTTCGGTGCCAGCAACTGAGGTACTTAATCCAATTCCCATATGTCTGGAATCGGACGCTTCGAACGAAGCCACTGTGAGAAAACCAATGCAGGAGTATTGGGAAATGAGATAATTAATGTTTTTATTTTTCATTTGCCCTTCCTATAGGTAGTTCGCGGAAATAGCAGATATTGCAATCGATTTGGGAATGTTTTTTTTTTTTCATTCCGTTTGTACGCGGTATCCATGGGAACCAAGCAACACCACTCATTTTGCATATTGTAACTTTTCTCCTCGGTCGGGATGACAGTCCGCGACGAAAACGTCCACATCCCTTCCAGCCCTCGCGGATGACGGATCTGGCATCCTACACTCATATTTCCATCTAGGGCGTTGAGGTTTACCGGTCATTCATCTTACCGCGGTATACCGTTCTCGTGATGCTCATACCGAGTTTCACCCATACCGACGCCTTCTGCATAGTACGATATCATTACCACTAAATATCATAAACTTTGAATAGGGCACATGTTCGCACCGTCGCCAGGGCACCATGTCGCTACCAATTCTAAAAAAGGAATATCCTTGTAAATTATCCACCCGGTCAATCCACTGTGATGCCCACTATACGAGACGAGGAGGCTCCTGTCTTTCATGTGAGTATATTTCATCCGAATTAAATAAATCTGTTATTTATGAGATCAACTGTTCCTCTTCATGGAAGAAAGCGGTTCTCTCTTCAAGATTTTCTAGAAATAGGACTAACAAGTAGTAGTAATTATTTGCTTTTACTGACTTGTTGACTTCTGAACTCTTACGCTTTGAAGTTCCAGGTCGTTGAAACAGTTCACAGAAGTACGAGGGGCTCTTCGGTACTGAGGGTACTACTCCTCCCTCCCTTTCCGGTTGCCTCAAGCGGCTGCGCCGAATCCAGATTTGCCTCGTCGATGAGTCTCTGACGCACGAGCTTTTGCAATCACTCATAGCTTTTTTTTTTATAGAAGTCCCCCCCCCCCCTTTTCCGTGAACAAGTTTCACGCATTATTTCGCTCTAAGGATCAAGAAGGCGCCAAAGCCTAATAGACGCCACGAGGAATTAAAGCACGACTTCAAATCATATAAATTGTCGCTAGCACGCGAACTATTCACTCCGGACCAAAATAATGTTTACATGCATATCGAAATTGTGCACTTAGAGAAATTGCTTAATCACCTAAATTGGGCATATGTATACTGACGATGGAGGACTACATTTGGTCAACGTGAGCCCCACCAAAAGTATTATCTGGGATTCACCCTTCAAAAGATATCATGAGTGTCTCGTTTCCTTTGTCATTGTGTCAACCAGTCTACTAAATAATTCGAGAACTTTCAGTATTCTTAGAGTATTCTTCAGGCAAACTTCTTCTAACTTTGTTCCTTTTCTACTGGTAAATAACAGGTGACGACAGAGGGGAATTCTCTCCGAAGAAACCTCTTAGGTGGCCTTTTGCATATGAATCGAAATTCCGGTTGATGCCTTTTCCTCTAGAAAAAAAAAAACGCCTAGAGAAAATTGTTTGAAGTCCATCATCTGGAAGAAAATATTTCTAAGAGTCATTTTTACAGATATATAACAGCTATCCACAGGTGATAATTTCTGTTTGACTTGATTATATCGTCGCTGTAATTGCTTCGCCACCGAAACAAAGCAGTTGCCAGGCAGAACCCAGAAAGCGGTTATTCATCAAAATGCCAGATTTGCAGGGCCAATTTCGCCAAAAGAAGTTTCATCAATTTGTTTTTGCTGGATTATAGATGAACTACCATCGTTTCCTTGATAAATGAGAGCACGGCATTCGGCACGGAACATTCAGGGAAAGACGAGGAAAAATGCGAATCACTACTTCGCGATCACTGTGAGATCGTCTCTAACAACATCGTGCTCGAGAACGAAATGATTAATTGATCGTGGCATCACCATGACCCGGCATCCTCCATCAACCCAAAGGAACGAATGAAGGAGGAATGAAGGAGGTCTCCTTCATCCTCGCCCTACCGAGTGAAGCGCCAATTGTGAACCGTGCCTCCTCGCCGATCATCGGGGTTCTCCGTGGAATGCTTCAGCTGTTTAAAGAGATGACTCGAGAAGTTCGAGGGCCTTTCCTCACGTTCTCTGCGGGAATATGTCAAGTACCACATGAAGCTACGTAGGCGCCGGCTCGCATCATCTAAGCGAAGCTTTTGTTGAATTAGCAGATAAATGTCTAATCCTGAGACGCGATACATGTTGGCTGCTGCCCAACGTCGTATGCTACCTTAGCAATACCTGGTTCCTGCTCTATATTGGCCATCACCGTTTCGTACAGACTAGCTATTTTTCGGCACTTCATTCATGGCTCTATGCTGCTTGGCCATCGTTGGTTAAAGACATAGACCCAGTAAAGGTTCCAGATTGACTTTCTATTGATGGCACGTAACTGGTGTAAGACGTCGGCACATTCACCTAAATGGAATGGCTTGCCGCGATGCTGCGCGTCATCGGCCGAGGACAGAGCGCCAATGAAGGTTTGTTCTATAGATACTTTGGGGCACTCCCATAGTACCCCAGTAGCACCCCAATATTGGATCAATATAGGTTGCTAAGGAATATACAGTACATCTTTGCTCAACATCGACACCCATCTTGGACCATCATTGGGATTACTACCGGGCCCCTTGATGGGCAAAGAATGACGATAATATCTTCTCAAAATTCTTTATCAAGCGGAGGTATTTCCATGGCGAAGGCATTCCTATTTTCAGTACCAGTACGGGCTATACTAGTACAACCCCTGGCCCATGCACATGTCTGTCCCATGGATAGGCAGGAGACTTAGAAAAGTATAGACTGAATTCGAGAAGAGTGGAGCCACTCTGTATTACCAGAGGCTCCACTCTGCTGGAATCCTATTCATTTGCAGGGTCGCAATATACTGTAGATTTGCATGCAGAGTCTCTCCTCCAATAAAGAAAAGGAGGAAACGGGGGCAGCAGCTTTGAAGGATCTGTTCGCCCTTTTTCGTCTTTGTCGCATTCTGGTCGGGAAATTAAGTGAATCTCTTCTCTTGTTAGCATCCGTGATGATGTTCCAGGTGAGCTACGGTTTTTTTTTCTTCTTGGGATTCGGGATTGCTTGCAGTCTTCATTAGCTTTTCTGAGTTTTTCGGTTGATGAACAGTGCAAAAAGGCATGGAACGACGAGTTTCGTTGAGATTTCGAGTTCGATGTAGTAATTGGGGTTGTTGAAGACGCTGAACTGTTCCGAGCTTAACACTAGGTGAGGGCTTCATATCTGTTTCAAATTCAATCCTCGGAACGCTCAGAAAACGAGAAACCAAGTCACTTTTCTTGCTTCACATTAAAAGATTCACTTCCACGCATCTAGCTAATTTTTTTTTTTTTTTGCCCAAACCAGCAGCACGTGCGAGTCGCGATCGATCGGACCGCTGACATGGCCAACGAGAATCCTCCACTCTGTTGCAGGGAAGGGCGGAGTGGATGTGCCTGCTGCTGCTGCTCCTCCTCGACTGGGGGGTCTGGGATGGGGATGGGCAGAATAACACAAGTGTCGCAAACATCACCGCTTTCTTGTGAGTTTCCGGATGATCCAGACAGTTTTGTAATCATTTGATTTTGGATCAAAGTTTTCCGTTCCATGTTATGAGGCCGGTGGCCTGGCATTCTCTGCGTGGTTCTTTTCTTGCTTCAGCTACACAGAAAATCCAGTGCCTCAGTACGATGCATTTTTCTCGCGAAAAAATCTGTCCTCCATGTGATGCGTCTTTATCGCATCGAATTTTGGATGCGATGAAAACGCATCACATGGAGGACAAATTTTTTCTCTACCAAATTGCATTAATTTGATTCTGTGTGTATAGGTCAGGTATATTATGCACTTCTGCCGCATTGAACATTTCACGAAGAACTTCAGCCAAGTTGAAATTTGCCTTGCATGTCCTGCATTGCAGCCACACTGAAAAATTTCATGCATTGTCCCCATATGATGCACGTGGCATGCCTGATCTTTCTTCTTCTAATTCTTTCTAGAAGAAGCGGTAGGACCTCACCAGACCCAGGTTGAACTCAGGCTTAATAGTGCAATTCATTCTGTAGAAGGTATCTGTTTTGACCCAATATTGCTCTTTTTTTAACTTTCACCAGGCCATGTGAGGTCGCTTTTAAACCTCATACAGGACTTTAGTAATGAAATGCCAGAAGCTGCAGGAAAGACTCTGCGATTTGAACAGGCAATCAAATGAAATCTATTAAGCATCAATAACATTGGAAATATGGCTGAAAAGTGCAACTGATGTCCATTGAGGAATTTCCCAAAAGGCCTGGGGAAGCTTAATAGATTCAATCAAGGTTTTAAACCAGAAACATCACATTGAATTAGATGCACCCCATGGATATGGCAAAAAAAAGTTGCGCTCACGACGTGATATGCCCAATCAAGCCAGAAAAAAAAAGAAATTTTATCTCTCAGGAAATTTTTATTTTAAGCCAAGCCGGTCTGAGGAGAGATTGCTTTCAAGAAGCGTGGAATTCATGGTACGCGCCATTTTCTTAAATTCAGGAATGTCTGGATAAGTTTTCTGCATATCCCAACGCATCGATGAAACCACCTCAGCTCAACTCATGAACTCGGCATAAAAATGTCTTATAAATAAAGACATAAAAATATACGGAAGATCCAGACGCCAATAGGAAGGCAAAAGTAGTCTTGAATCTGGCGTAATTTCGACATGGCATCCGGCAACACTGGGGGACAGTACCGGAGAAAGCCTAATTGAACCACAGCTAATTTCATTTTCATGGCGAAATGGCGCCTCGCAAGAAACAAAAAAGCCACTTTTTGTCATCTACGAGTCAATATCTTTCTAACGTTTGGTCTCTTTCCTCCGAAACCCCCCCCCCCCCCCCAGGAGCGGCTACTCAGGGGGGGGGGGGGGGGGGGGCCGGGGGCGGAACGAAATTCACATCCTTCAAGAAAGAGATTCAGTGTTCTCCACAACTCTTGAAGTTCTTGAGGAATAATTTCTCTCAATGCAGACAGTTGGACCTAAATCATGAAAACTTTTTCATGCGGGAGAGTGCTCCTTCACATCGTCCCAAACGTGCGCATGAGTACTCAGAGAATAAAACTCCTGACTTCATTCGAGAAAATCAGTGTAACTCCAATTCGCTAGACGTAAAGCCCCATCGACTACAGCACGTGGAACGAATTGAAGGAGCCAGTTTATGATGAATGCGACATCCCTGTTACATTACTTGCTGGACTGAAGGCTTGAATCGAGGAATTGTGGCCTCTTGTCTATGACAACACAAGAAAGAGAATCAATGAATGGAAACAGCGTCTCCGAGCAGTTGTGGACCAGAATGGCGGATCCGATCAAAACATCTCTTCATTGAGGTCAGTCACACATCTTACCACACTTGCCCATACGACGGCGCGCGGGAGAAAAAAAATTCACTCTGGACGTTAGCAACCAATAATACTGAATTTTTTTCACATTACCAAAAGATGTTGGATGTGAAACCCTGCAAATTTCCTGTCGATAACTCATATGGTATTCCGTCTGCAGGCGTGTGAAGTTCTGAACTTTTTGGGGGGGCCACCCGATATATTAGATATTTACGTTATAATAAAAAAAACTGGCGAATCACGAAAGACCATAGGAGATTAGAATGCAAGCTTCTATGGGGAAAGAAATGGAGAAAATGAATCTTACACCGCCCCCCACCCTCGTCCCACATGAAATCCTCGTTAACTAATTAATAACTAATAATCAGAACGTATATTCTTCATTCGTAAGTAGATTTATTCAGAATCGATTTTTAAATTCTTTTTCGTTCTCTCAGCGAAGAAGCGGAAAGAAAAGCGTATTGAGGCTGGATTCATTCGGCCATAGGTCATATGGCTTGGAAATCGTTGTAATCTGTCTCTCATTATTGAGGACCATTTAAAGTAATGCCTCACTGATATGTCCTCCTTCACCAGTAATCTCGGGAAACTTTTTTTTTTCAGACGAAAGGAAGAAACTTTTTCAGAGGAAATAAATAATGAATAGCACCAAAGCGACGACAGGCAATTTTTTTCCTTTTCTATAACAACAACGAGCACGTAAAAGAATAACAAACGAACGGTAAAAGAGAGAGCAAAGAAGGCCTTCAACGCCGTCTGCCCACAGAAAAATCGTACGCCTTGTCCGACCTCTTCCGCTTCCGCGCCGGCTTTCCTCTCCCACCCGACCGTCTCAGCGGATAGGGAGTGAGGTGGTTCGTGAAGGACCCCACGCCCCCCGACGAGGATGGCGAAGAGGAGGACGAGGACGAGGAGGAGGGGTCCACGAAGATCGGCTCCGGTGTGTGGTGGTGGTGCGGCTTCTTCACGTGCTGGTGCACGACTATCTTGTTCACGGATGGTCTCTTATGTCCCTTGAACTTTCGGTGCTTGTTGTCGAACGCCAGTTTGAACTTCCCCGCTCTGCAGGAAAGAAGTCTTTCATGCATGCGTGGCGCGGGGAAACGATAACGTGGTTTTAAATTTGCGTCAGTGATAATCCCATCATCGAATATTTGGACTGCTGGTATTTTTAGTCGGCCTTCATGTTCTGCTGCACGTTCTAATTTTTTTTTTAATTCCCCCCCTCCCTTCTTTTCTCTCCCCATGTGTGATGTTGGTTAATTTTGGCGGACTCACTTAATGGCTGTGAAGAGGCAGAGAAGGGGGACGAAAGGCATCACCGTTCCAACGATGTTCGGCGGGATGATACCGATTCCCCCTCTATATTCAAAGCAAAATCCAGAAATAAAAATCCCCAAAAAATAAGAATTAGAATTAAATGTATACGTAATTATATTTTACTACATAAATAAGCATGAAAAAGCATTGAGGCAGAGAAAGAGAAAAAAAAAGAGAGATATGCACTGCAGATATGCTGCTTTCGAAATTTGTTATCATCGAATTCGGAACGGACCACATTCTTTGCAGCAGACCGCAGTCCACCAAACGAGAGGGGGGGGGGGGGGGGGGGGGGGGGGGGGGTCCCCCACTTTCCTGCCCTGGCCCCCTGACTCTTCAGCCAAAATACAGCCACTGGGAATGAATTCAATCTGAAAATAATTTGCGTGCGCATTAATTGATTTAAGATGATAGGCTACAAATACTGGTATTCTTTAACGTTACACAAACCTTGACGCGTGATCGAATTTTCGGCGAACGGCGAACTGTGAACCGTTGGTGCGACGCCATTAAAAATGGACTCGAGTCAGTGACAGATGAGGATCGTGCGCATTCGCCGGCGACAAATGCGACACCGACCAATGTCGCACGTTTGGAGCTGGTGCATTACCCTCCGTGAAATAGCCACTGGGACTTGTGAGGAGTGTAGAGGCGATGATCCACGATCGGTAAAATTCGACAAAGTGTCGTGCGGGTGCCGAGAGAACTTTCGTTTTCACCAGACGGCGTCGAAGGTTGCAGTGTCATTAGCGCTTCTTAATCGCTGCCGGCAGGAGGTTGTCGACCGTCTGGGAAAGATGATCGTCGAAACCCGGATGCGCCGTGACGCGCCAGGGTCGAAAGGAGACGAAAGCGTGCAACGGCGCCATCCGTCATCCCCGCCGCTCAGGATGTTCCGAGTCTTGCACGCTCCGACCGGAGTGGGAGGTCGGTCTCGGTCGCCCGGAGGCAGAGGCTTGCCGAACTGCTTCATCTCCACTTGAGTCCGCACCGATTCGCACTTTTCCTTCCCGTGAAACGAGTGTGATCAAGCGATGGGCGCGATTTGTGCGTCCAATTTCGTTCGAACGGGATGGAACATGGATGTCGTACAGGGGGTTTCTCCAATTACTGATGGGGAGACTCGTTCGGAGCCGCCATGCGTGCAAATGCCGCATTCCTGCTGATGACGCGCGCACGAGACGCCGAGAGCGAACTCCCTCCTCCCTCGTCGCAAGACGATTTCCACAACTTCGAGGAAGATGGGACTTGCCCAAGAATGGGAAGCCAGGTGAGATCTCGACCTTGAACCTTGAAATCGTCTCACTCCAGTATCTATTTCTTCATGAATCGGCTCAGCTGCCTCAGTCGTCCTCTGCCTGTTCTGTTTCACACCATGACGTATGTATTCACAAACTTGAATCTCAATGCCCATGTTATCATGACTGGACTCGAGAGCGCGATTATTTTTTTCGCTAACGAGACCCACACAACCGGAATGGAAATCGAATTTTTTTTCCGCCCTACTATTAGAAAAGCCCTTCTCCAATGAAAAGAAGGGGGAAACTGGGCCAGCAGCAGAGAAGAACCGGCTCTTCCTTTTTCGTCTGTTTCATTCCAGTCTGCAAAAAAAGTGGATCGCTTCTCGTGTTAGCATCCGTCATGTAGTTCCAGATAAGCTGTTTCTTTCTCCCTTGGGATTTGGGATTGTATGCTGTTTCCATTTCCTTTTCTGCGTGGTTCAGGCTGATGAACAGTGCAAAAAGGCACGGAACGACGGTTATTTACTTAAAATTTCAGGTTGGATGTATTGATTACAGTTATTTAGGACACAGAACTCAATCCGAGCTTAATACCAGGTGATAGCGTGGCCTTCAGACTTGTTTCAAATTCAATCCGATACGCTCCAGAAAGCAAAAAAAAACCAAGCCACATTTCTTTCATCTCCTTAAAATTTCACTTCCGCGCCGGTATTGCGTTCTTGCCCCAACCAGCAGCACGTGCGAGTCGCGATCGATCTGGCCGCTGACATGGCCAACGAGATTCCTCCACTCTGTTGCAGGGAAGGGCGGAGTGGATGTGCCTGCTGCTGCTCCTCCTCGACTGGGGGGTCCGGGATGCAGATGGGGAGAAGAACGCGTCCACGACCACGACCACCGTCATCAATGCTCTTGGTTGAAGCGGGAACGTCCAAGGTGGCCGTCCTCGAACCAAGCTAGAACAATGGCTTCGAATAATTAATTCGAATAATTAATTCCCACGCCCTTCCCTTCGATAAGAACATCAGAAATGTTTGAAAATCGATGCTGTGTAAAGCGATATAGCTCTCCCTCTCGCCCTTTAAAATGCGCGGACGACAAGCCAGCGCAGTCGGCTGTGGCTCCGTAATCGCTCCAGAAAGCTATCGATAGAAGAAATGCCACCTAATTATTGTGAAATGCGAGTGAAACCAGCGGTAAAACCGGAAAAGAGAGTTTAACAGGAAACGAAATCAAGGCTCCGGTCAAGGTTATCGGTCCCGTTCGACCGGCTTCATCTGGGGCGGGGGGGCAGGGGGGGGGGGCAAAGCCGGTCTCGAGCATCAACAGGCAACCGAACCCGTTTCCTCGGTCGACCCCAAATGCCAAGAATCGAAAGTGGAATTCGGAAATCGTCATCAGTTCAGGGGCAAACCCAGCTCGAGCCCTTCTCAAAATGCAAAGTTTCTTTTCCTAATAATCATACTGAGCCTTTTATTCCGGAGAAAAACGATTTTACGCCAATTTGGGAAGCTTCTTCATCGTTTATTCCATCAACTGAGTCGGATATTGCGTCCACGGCCGCTTATCGCCGACTGCTTGCACAAAATGAATCCCTCTCTCCCCCTTTTTTTTTTTTTTTTTCCTCCGATGTGGAGCGGAAGGAGCGGAAATGCGCGCGTTCCGGACTCGTCTGCCGATTCTGCAAGTTGCAGAATTGGCAGCCCCGGACAGGCCTGCAAAATATCTGGTCCAAAATCTCCTACGATCTGCTTAACGTTAAAATTTATTTATTTATTTCCTGGAAGAAAATAAAATCATACAGGTCAAACTTAACAAATACTTCTCCGCTAGACAATTTTTTTTTTTTTTTTTAAGAACTGACGAAGACGAAAGAGGACTTCAGTTTTATGACCGTCTGGGAACCCCTTGCACTCGTGAAGAGCTCATCGCTAATGAAGAGCTCATCGCTAATGAAGAGCTCATCGCAGCGCCTGATATCTTCACATCCGGACACGAAAAATCAGGGTGTACTTGAAAGAAGGAGGGAGAGGTTGGTGAGGGGATCTCCACCTTTTCTGGCTCAAAGGGTAGTTACCCCTACAGCTTTCCAAGAGATGGTTCTGACCCTTCTGGAGGGGGTGGGGGGGCCCTTCAGGAGGGGGGGGGGGCCCTTCAGGAGGGGGGGGGGGGCCCTTCAGGAGGAGGCAGGCCAATTCTAGAAACAACCTTACCGGTCTCCATGTTGTTTCTCAACTAACGAACTACAGAGAATCCAGTTTATACCATTGATGAACGTGATGTTCCTTTTTTTTTTCTCCATACACAATGCGATTTCTTTATATTTCTGACATATTCATGCATGAATTCTTCCTCGCCTACACTCCAACGAAACCGGACAGGAAAGAAGAGCATCGCTGCGGGCCGCGATGGCGAAACTCCGGCGTCTTGGCTCCTTTCGAAGGCGGAATCCCAGCTGAATTCTCCGGATGTTTCCGCCGGCAGACGTTCGACGCGAACCCGGCCGCTCGAACCGGCTGAGCGTGTCGTGCGTGCTGCGATACGGACCCGTTTCGGTTTTAAAGTTCCCCATCGGTAAACGCGTGCTTCTCCTTCCTTCTATACCTCTATCCCCCCATTCTCTTGCATCGACGCCGGCGACCGGCGTCGAAATTCTTTTATTTCGGCATGGATTTCCCGTCCCACCGGTCAGACGCCCCCAGGCGCCCCCCAGACGCCCCCCGGCGCCCCCCAGACGCCCCCAGGCGCCCCCCAGACGCCCCCAGGCGCCCCTCAGACGCCCCCAGGCGCCCCCCAGACGCCCCCAGGCGCCCCCCAGACGCCCCCAGGCGCCCCCCAGACGCCCCCAGGCGCCCCCCAGACGCCCCCAGGCGCCCCCCAGACGCCCGCCTCCTCCGTTTGCATTCGCAAATCCATTCCGCTTCGAAAAGCTGGAATTCCCCGCTCTCATTCTTTCCCCGCGTGGAGCGACTGGGGTCGCCGGGATTCTCACGACCGGAATCGAGAGCAATTGAAATTTTCCTCCTTAGAAAGGGGGAATGGGGCCAGCGAGGACCGGTTCGCCCGCCGTTTCCATTCCAGTCGCAATCGAGTGGATCTCTCGTCGTGGTTCATCATGAAGTTCGAGGTGAGCCGTTCTCTCTTCATCTGTTGGGGATTTGATTCTCGCGGCGTCGACTCGCGGCGCTTTGCGGTTCGTGGCGGCTGTCGGTGCGGAAATGCCCCAAACGGCTTTTTGGGCATTTAAATCGAGTTTAGTGTGGTTAATCCAAAGCTAGAGGCTTTGGATTCTTCGGAGGTGGAAGAGGCGATTTTTTTGGCTCTCGAACGGCCGACCGACGTCGGTCGGAGTCGATTCGCGCCGAGAAAAGTCTCAAGAAGTGTCACGATCTGTCTCTGGCTTGAAGAACGGCACGGTTGAAATGGTTCAAATCGGGACAGATGCATCAAAGGCAATGGGCTCCGATGGGTGCTCGTGGTTCCTTAGGGCATGTCAAGCCGTGAGGGAATCGGAGACGGCGCACTCTTGGGGAAAAGGCGAGGGCTCGATCCTCTTCTTTTTTTTCTCTCTCTCTCTCCATTTTTTTTTTTTTTTTTTCTTGGGTACTGAATAGAGAGGTAACACTCGATAAGACACTTTCTCCCTCAGAGACAACCTAGTGGGTTTCCCTTCTTTCTTCATAGATGAGTATTTCATGAAAGATATTATTATCTTTTATTTTCAAATGGGCTTTTGTCATCATTCAGCATTCAGTTAAGGAGAAGAGGCTGTGAAAGATCTTATCATGTGCACTTCAATGTAAGAAGTCTTATTATTCTCAAGAAGTAAATCCAACTGTTCTCTGAAATGAGCTCCTTGTTTAGTCTATTGCTATTTTTATCTGGGCATTGTTGTTTGTCTGTGTTTACTGTGAATGAGGCATAAATCCACACAGGATTTATGTCCTGGATGAAAGTCAGCCTTGAAATAATTATAGCCTCTATGTCATTTTCAATATATCATGGAGTGAGCCAAAAACATTGATGCAACTGAATTCAATGTGACACTTTCAGTATCATTTAATTGTGTAAGCACTTGAGCAATTGGCCTTTCCCCTATTGCCCTAGAACCAAACTTTTGTCTCATTGGTCTCAATTTCAAAATTTTTTATTATAATACAGCTCAGTAGCCTAGAATTTTAATGCTAAAAGTTTACAGATATCCACCTTGTTGACTGCATCAAAAACAAAAAAGCAGTGATAAAAAAAACTTTTCAATTTGAAATGAAAAATTCAAAAATTTACAGTTCATTTACAGTGATTGCAATCCTGCCTTGTATCCTATGCTTATTACTAGGTTGTAGCAAAAGTTTTTGTGCATACAAACAACGCAACAGTCCGCGAAGCACGATTTTTTTCGT